GGATTCGAACCCGCGACCCTCAGATTGTGAGTCGAGCGTCTTATCCACCTGGCCATGCCGGGCCTTCAGTGGGTCTTAGGACTGAAGTATTATAAAGCTAAAATCGGTTTTCGTGTCAGTTGTGGGCAGAGCACAGATAACCCATTGTGAAGCTTTGTGCTTAACAACAAACAAACAAATGAAGAGGTATAATATTTTGAAATTCTTGGGAACGTATATTTTTATTAGCACGACGTTTCGGGCAGAACATGTATTAAATGTATTAAAGCCTTAAGAATAAGCTATAAGTTCGATTCGATTTTACTATACAAAAGTGCTACGAATATTAGAATACAGGTGTATTAGAACAGGTAGGAACACAAGTTATAACAGTTGAGGACGAAAAGAAATTCAAAGGTAACGTTATGAACGAATATTTACAAATAAATATTTTACAGCAAAATAATAATAATAGAAATAATTACTGAAACACAATTAAAGGAGTCACAAGCAACGAATAGTGGTAACAGATGGTGAAATTACTAATTGTACAAAACATTATCACAGAAAATACAAAAAAAAAATGAAAGTTGTACCATACATTAGTATTTTGTATGCGAGCCTTTTGATTTACGAAGAATATTACACTTTTTTCTTTGCTGCCATACAGTTTGTTAATTAATGTAATGTAGAATATTGTTCTAAATGTTCTCAATTATTCCGAACAATTCATCAAGGTTGTTTGGTCGCCTTTATACTTTTGTCGGTTTTTACACAAGCCAATATGTCTCAAGAATGCCATCAAGGTGCCATCAGGTTTGTGGAGATCACCGACATTGTTGACTGAGGTGAAGCTCCAATCTTGTACTTATCTCCCATCGTGCTTCCTTGGAGGTTTACGTTTTTGTACTACGCTGTGCTGCTGTAATACTCTCCACTGTTAAACATACTTTGTTGATTTTTTCTAAGCTATTCGAACTAGGATTTATCTGTAAAGCTCACAGATCTCCAAATGTGTTCCTTCCACTGTTTGTGGTGAAATTTCCTTTTAAGCCTCACGTCGATTGAAATCACTTTGTGCTAATATGTATGTCACTGTTATAGAAGTAGCATTCACCTGTCTTACAGCAAAGTCGTTGGCAAGATATGTACTCCATTGTATTTTATCTCTTAAAAAAACACAATCTGAGAATTTTGTCTTTATACTTCGTTTATTATTATTGTTTTTAACAGTGCCAGTTTCACGAATTATGTCCATAGTTTTGCATAAGGTCCTAAGTGCCAGTTCAACGTACCTTCTTTATAGTCTTGCATAAGGTCCTAGGTGCCAGTTTAACGTACCTTCTTTATAGTCTTGCATAAGGTCCTAAATACCAGTTTAACGTACCTTCTTTATAGTCTTGCATAAGGTCCTAAGGGCCAGTTTAACGTACCTTCTTTATAGTCTTGCATAAGGTCCTAAGGGCCAGTTTAACGTACCTTCTTTATAGTCTTGCATAAGGTCCTAGGTGCCAGTTTAACGTACCTTCTTTATAGTCTTGCATAAGGTCCTAGTGAAATGTGGAGCTTTGCCGCAATTTCTCACCTTGATCAGATAATCTATGATTTCTACACGTTCAACATACAGTGTTTCATTTCTGAAAGTCATAACTGCATTCACACTAACACCACTGAGGAGAGAAACGGAACGAAACATCTTGGTAGGAATTTCGATTTAACATCTTTCAAAATTGGGAAGACAACCGAGGATGCTCAGAAACTATTTGTTTCTTTTCATCCCGCTAGTGGAGAGTGGATTATTAGCCAAAAGGGCTGAAGGTAGTAGATGTGCTGAATTTGAGTATATGGTTGTATTTCTTTAAACACAAGTATGGCTGCCTGTGATTTTATAGGATTTATACTAATGCGTCACTTTTCTTTGGTTAGATGACAACCACTTACAGTGCAAGCTATAAACACGTGACTGTTCTCTAATATGGTTAATTTTCACATCATAATGGGATGGTATTTCCGTGGTATTTGTCTTTACTTATCGTTTCTATAATAATTCTAAATTCTGTATATTTGATAAAGTTTGCAATAACAATCGAACATTTTAGTAAGTTCAATGTTCATAGGTTTTATAATACTGCATTCGCTTCATATTTTGACGATCAAATTTAATGTATTTAACCTTTTTACCCTATACATATGTATTAGGTCCATTTAATATTCTTTTTTTTTTTTCAAATGCGAAACATGTATTTTATACATACAGCATATTCCTAATAACACCGTGCAGAAAAATAATACTGTACGGTTATTGGTTAGCTATTTTTTTATTTCAGATTACATTCATTTGTTTATAGTCAGACTTTGTAAATTGTCACCAGAGGGGTGAGTAATAATTGTTAAGCCTACTTATCTTAAGTCTTTCAACAAGTTTCTATTATAGATTAAGAAATCAATCAACGCACCAAGCTGAGCACAAAAGTAATTCTTTATTATATTAGTGTCAATTAAGAGCACTGTTTAAGCTACAGATATATATTTGTTTCTTGCAACAGCTTTGACCAATCCCTCAATGTTATAGAAACCCGATAAAGTTTCATTATGACACTCTTCAATGAGGGAACTCAAAGACACTGTGTAAAATATTAGTTGGGAAGTAAGATGACAATAAATAGGCTGTTGAAATTTACAATATACAGATACAAATCCGAAGACATACAAGCAAGCTTTTAGAACCCTGTAAGTTCTGCAAATGTTTGGTCCAGGTCGTCTGAGATGGCCTTGTATTTCTCCTTCTCGTTGACCAGTTCGTCTGCAAGAAAAATCTTAGAGTGAGAACGATAGCTTACAATTTGAGTTCTCGAAAATCTTATGATCTACGCAAAATAATATGATTTTTGCTCACTAAAAATAAAAAGGAAAAATTTAATCTCTCACATCAAGTGAAATTAATATTTGTCATAAAAAATAAAGTTTACTCTTTACACCTAACGAACTGAGAAGTTAAATTATTAAACTAACATACAACGTTGAATTGTTGAACAATAAATTAGATTTATTAAAATCAAAGCACAGCGCTAAAAAGACAACATGTTTCGTGTGCGTTCTACACCACCATCATCAGGTGTAGGGCGCTATCTTAACATGTAGTCTTTTTTTTTTTAAGGCTGTGACATGCTTTTGATAAAGCTAATTTATTGTGCAACAATTCAACGTTGTACGTTAGTTTAATATTTCACCTGTGCACAGGTGCTGGTTAATTAATTAAATTGAGAAATTACTGTCTGAAGAATGGAGACTTGGAGATTGCAACGAAGCCATAGAAGTATTGTGACCAAATAAAATGGAAGAAAAATTTTCAATAGTCATGACCTTTGGCATAATTGTGATATATTTAATCATTTTACTTGGACATGCCTTCTTGTTTGTTTATTTACTGCATGGAAAATAAGACTAGACAAAATATAATATACCTTCCAATCTGTCCACCTCTGTCTGGAGTTTCTGTACTGATCTTTCAGCGAATTCTGCTCGAGATTCAGCCTACACCCCAAAAACAAAACAATATTAACACAAGTCTTTAGAAAAACATCAATATTATAAGAAAAGTGCGGTATGTATATGCATATACATAACTGGTTTTTTTTTGTCACGATGTTTATATGAGTCATATTTGTCCTTGCTATTTTTAGAGAACGCGACTTTACCATGTGTTGAATTCAATAATAGAAAAGTCAAATTTCAATTTCTAATTGGTTACAAAGGAATATTATGTTTTTAACGAAACCACCCAGTATTAAATTTAAAATTTCAATTATTTACTAAAAATCGTAAAATTGTCAACCAAGATAGGTTATTTTCTTGAACTTTCTTATTATTATTAGTTGTTCTAAAGTTAATTTCAACTACATAAAAATAAGCCATAAAGTTTTCGATGTTAGATTGAAAAATAAAAGTTTTGCCATTGTTTTGTTTTTTACTGAATGCAATGAAATATGGTGGCCTTTTTTCTTCTTTTGTCGATACTTAAACGTGAGGGTAGCTAACAAAAAGTTTAAAATTTCGTATAATTGTCAAGCATTTGGGGGCAAGTGTTAAACACGTGCTCTTCTTTCAAGCTATACCATTCAGTAAAATTCTCACTATAGTTAAGTTTGGAGCTTTGAAAGGGAAGTTTGTAGAGTTGTATTGTATTATACCGTGCCTAAGTTGTAAGGAATATTTTTGTGGTTTGGATATTATGATTTGGTTACTCCATGACCTACATGTTATAAATCTAAGAATTTCACCGCTAGAGGTTGATGCAGCTACGTCTACCGACTTGACATCATTGTCAAGTCCCATGCTTAAAGAGCTTTGAACTATACCTCTTGTAATCTTTGAGTCATTTGTCGGATTTGGGTTTCATAGGCGTCTTCTTTCTGTAGGGCCTAAATATGGCAAAAATAAACCGTTAGCTAAATTAAAACATTGTGTGTAAGATTGCATGAAATGAACCCTCACCTCCTTTAGTCTGGAAGTCATACTACGGATCTGTGTTTCATAAGCTTCCTCTCTCTGCTGAGCCTGTAAAAAAAGAGGAGGAAAGAAAACAAAAAAAGAAAATGTGGTAAACCATATCGCTGTCAAACTTTATTCAAAATGGCTGCTTCTATCAACCCCTTTCCTCTCCCAAATGTTATTATAGAAAACACGAGATATTAACAGTTACAAACAGAAAACTTACTGAAACAACAATTTGGGATAATTTGTCAAAAAAAAAAAAGATTTACGATTAAAATAATGAATTTTAAAGTGCTTTCCAGTAAAAAGTATAATCTTAAGTCAGAATCTGGATTTAATAATAAAAGTTTGTCAGGAAATGTAAACCACATGACGGACAGCATGGTCATTTTCAAGGAAGATGACTTCTCACGAAAAAGTAGAGCAAGAAAGTAAATGTACACAAACAGAGAGGGCTGCAAGAACATTGGTATAAAACCTGAAAAAGCAAACACAAAAAAGATGGGAGACACATATGTATGAGACAACAACTGAATCTCATAGAACAACGCTTTAACTTTAAACAGAAATGGAACAAAAATACAACAAAACAAGAAAAATCAAAGCAATTTTCAGGGTTAATCACACTTTCTAAGAACGATATTCTAAGTTCTGTGTTTCCTTGGAACCATTTTCTCCATCGTAGATCGTATTCGTTTTGATAATCGTAATTATGAACTATTGCCAACACGGAACTTTCTATTGAAGCGAGTCTGTGCAAGGGTTACAAGACCAATCTTAGACCACACATCTTGACAAACTTTCCACTGTACTTAGTTACTGGTTTTCAAGCCTATTAATTAATTAATTAAAGCTGTATTAGAGGACTTGACATGTATGTAGTCGAATGGGATTGTGATGATTTCAGTTTTCTCGACCGTATTTTCTGTAAAAACAATCGTTTATTTCAAGGTTTGGTGGAAGTTTATGTTTGTTGTTGTTGTTGACAGAAAATATGTCCAGCTTTCGTTTTTTGGGAGGGTTACTTTTTGCAACTATATTTTTCACTTTGTATGAACGTTGCTCTGGATTGACTTAAAGTGTAGCTTTGGAATCAGTTGTTGTCTTTAACGCTTTGCTATGTGAGTGTTTCTGTTTACACGAGGAGTACTTAAGAGATACTTCTACGAAACGTTATCTTTTCATTGTACAAACTTGCTATACGAACACCGTTCCTTGGAAAGAACTGTATCATGTACCTTCAGTTGTAAATTTCTCATGTCAGCGTTGCACTGTTCATATAGATGTTGAATATTGTTAGTGACGCTACGGCTCACGACTGCGGCAAAACGCTATTGTATCGTTCTTAAAAAGTACAATTAACTCTTTGTAACATACAAGAGTTAGAAAATTAGAAAAGGTACTAGAAAAAAATGAGGTTGAAATTTAAAAATTTACGTGAAGACACGAAACAATAACACTGTTAATTCCATATAAAACAAACAAAAAAACAATGTTCGTATGTTTAATTATTGTAAAAACAATAATACAGGTATGATTTTATTTTTGGGAATAAGAGAAATAAAATAAACTAATTGCAAGCGGAAATACAAAAGTCTGAAAACAAAACAAATAATAGGTTGAAACTCAAATAAACACGAAGAAAATCAAACAAATGTAAAAAAAACAAAAAACAACAACAACAACACGATAACATTAAATTAATAAGAAAGGAATAAAAACATATTGTGGAGTTATTAAATTAAACACATATGAAACAAATATATCACAAACCAACACACCGTGGTATTCACAAACAAAACAAAATTTCAGATTTTCGCCCGTACAGAGAACACGCTATGATTAAGAGATCGCAGCGTATTTTTGTCTTCCATTAACGTTACAGTTAAAAAACAAAATTTTCGCCCGTACAGAGAACACGCTATGATTAAGAGATCGCAGCGTATTTTTGTCTTCCATTAACGTTACAGTCAAAATACGTTAGTGCCCATACCTTCTCTTCGCTGACCTCCAGTGATTTCAAGTTGTTACCAACAACACGTAATTCTTCCTCAAGTTCTACGATTTTACTGTAATACAAACAAGTTACTTAGCTCGAGTTATACGTCATTAAAATATACGAATTGTGCAAAACATAGGCAAAGAAATGTTTTCGATACGTCACTGTTAAAGTATAGGAATTTTAATGGTGCTTTGTAAAGACAGTTACCTCATTAAACCAAAAAAAAAAAAAGATAAAGAGATAAGAAAATCTTCGCGATCCGTATTTTAGACCGTAATTCCAATAATAATTCGGTGAAGTTAATCCAATTTAGACGCTTATATTTGTTCTAAATCCATATAACAATCTAACTATGCATAATATTATTAATAAAATTGAATATTAGTAATATTTAAATACTAATATTCAAAACTATTATAAACATCATAACAAAATATATTAATCAAAGAGACTTTGTGGAAATACGGAATATATAATTACTTATAAAACACATGTCTGTTTCTGAGATCTGCAAAGCGTACCAATAAATGAAACCTTAGAACGCACTTATAAGAGTTCTTGCATTTAATATAGAGCACATTTATCAGTAAAATGACCTAACTGAAAGCGAGAAAGAGGTTAAGAATGATAAACAAAAGACCACTAGCCACTCATATGAAAAACTATACGTGATATCATAGTTCATCTAGGCTTACATTCGATTTCAATTGAAACAGACTCTCTTACGTATCTAACATGATAGACAATGATATAATACCTACAGATACAGAATGTGTGTGTGTGGGGGGGGGGGGACGTTTTTCAAAAGAAAAATGTGGACCTTTTCTTCTGTGCAAAGAATTAAATATTTTCACACGAAAATCAAGTGTTTATTTAAAAAAAAAAGAGAAAGTAGTGGACCTCTTACACTTTTTAGGTTATTGGGATGATCGTTCGACGACGGATATCGAACCCCGATTTTCTCTTACGTATACCACTGAACCATAGGGAGAGAGAGGGCAAACAACCCAAGAGAAGCTGATAGTAAAAATATTAAAATAATAACAGCAATTTAAAAATGGTGTATCAGGTTTCAACCTTCTAGAAAAAAACCCTCAAGAGGCTGAATAATCCCGATCTAATAATTGTTACAGTAGTATTGGTGGCAATATCAACTTTAAGAAGTTAAGTCTCAATGTCTGGTGTCACTGACATATGACTAATTAGCATACAAGAAATGTTACAGAACTGGTGTCACCAATAACGATTACCAACTAACATGGCTGGAGAAATAGTATAAGGTTGAGAATAGAAAAGAAATATTGTATATATTATTAGACTGGTACCACTGTTACAGGTCCATCTACACAGAGGGAAAATACTAAATATTATAGAGGGAGTGCCATTCATACAGATCCAACCTGAAATCTGAGGAAATATTGTTAGACTGGTACCACTGTTACAGGTCCACCTACATAGAGGGAAAATACTAAATATTATAGAGGGAGTGCCATTCATACAGATCCAACCTGAAATCTGAGGAAATATTATAAGACTGGTATCACTGGGAAAGATTCATTTAACAAGGAGGGAAAATCCTCCAGGACCGCCGTCTAAGATACAGATTAAACTAATATGGATGGGGCATATATTAAGGGATTTGATCCACTAATACATATCCAACTAACATAGAGTGGAATATTTTATAGAGACTCAACTGATAAATGAAATCAATTGAGCTAACCTTTTAGCTATGCCAGGAGGGTAATTAGACGAGTTCACTTCGTTAAGGAAGCCTGTTAAAGGAATGACTGAGGAAGAAGCTAACACTTACGATTCGCCGCTCTCGGCACGTTCCTCGGCTCTCTCCAGATCGGCCTCAACCATAGCCAACTTACGCGCGACCTGTAAACCATATTTATATTTAATATCAGCGATTTGTATTCACTTGTACAATAAGTAGAGATGTTTTTAGGTGTAAAGGATCGTATTAAAATATATTACATTTCAATTAAAACTTAACCATATTTACCAACAACGAGTTCTTTGTTTGTTTTTCCACATCGTGATCTCACTAAATGTATAACGTCATTGGAGATAACATTAAGGTAATGGCATATAGCACTGTTTTACGACTTTTTTTTCCCCTCGTTTTATCAACGAATAGTTTATTTGTTGTTATGTGGTTTGGAACATTAATGATTATTCGGCAATGTTGCACATTTGTGTTTAATTCGATCAAGATTAATTATTGTGCAATTTCTATTAAAAAAAAAACACTGTCTCTTTATTACATTTATACACGGTATTACTTCACTGTAAGTAATGCAACCAATAACAACAACTGTGACCGTGGTTTGTCACTCAATGTTTAGGAACTAAAAATCCAGTGTTTAGTGTCTCAAGTCTCTTGAAAAAAAATTCTAAGAAGGATCATTATAATTTTGCAACAGAAAATGCTTATTCTTTGAATTAAACTTGTTGTTTTAAAAAACAAATTTGAAATTATTATTATGGTAGTAGAATGATTACTAAACCGCCTTTGACATTTTTTTCTTTTCTGTGTTTTTTTAAACCTTTAGTGTTTGAACCATATGTTGAAAAGACAAACTACGGGGTGTCCGAAAAGTCTGGAACCACAAGCGATTTGCAGCTTTTCTTAATTTCATATACGTGACTGATTTTGGTGTTGTCAAAGCACGTGAAAGTCGAGTTAATCCTGCAGTTAATCCAAACTCGTTTCGAATAACAAGGACAATATGTGGAACACATTCTGTAAAACTCGTTGAAGTGCCTATGGTTTCAGACACCCTGTATTTCAACGAGAGAGTAACGAAATAAATATAAACTGTATAACAGTGCAATTAATGTTATTGGGAAAACCCATTTACATCTAATAAAGATTACACGTGCTAAACAGGTTACCAAAACTATGTAGTACCCTAAAGAATACTTGATACTATATGAGCCGTGTAGTTTACAAAGGTTATATAGGATAGTTTATAAAATATATTAGCTATATCTAGGGTTAAATAGAGTTTAGTAAAACTATCTGGGGTATGTATTTTACAAAGGTTATACAGGATAGATTTAGAACATATTAGCTATATCCAGGGTTAAATGTTATTTATAAAATGTATGCGAGCTGTATAGTTTACAAGGGTTATATGGGATGGGCTGTAGAAGATATTAGCTATATCCAGGGTTAAATATTATTTAATAAATGTATGCGAGCTGTATAGTTTACAAGGGTTATATGAGATGGGCTGTAGAAGATATTAGCTATATCCAGGGTTAAATATTAGTTAATAAATGTATGCGAGCTGTATAGTTTACAAGGGTTATATGGGATGGGCTGTAGAAGATATTAGCTATATCCAGGGTTACTCTATGTGAGATGAGTATTTTACAAGGGGTATACAGGCTATAGGGGATAATTCTATAGATGGCTGTATTGAGTTTATCACGATTCCATGAATTGTCAAAGTCATACATAAAGTAGCACATAACTAACACACGTTATGTGAGTTATAGAAGGATGAAAGTTTCCCGTGAATGATTTGAGTCTCGAGAATTCCAGGTTAATGTAAAGCTGAAGATCGTTAAAGCAAGCAGCCTGAAGTGGAGCTACTTATCAAAACAAACAATAAAATAAAACAAACTACAGTTTCATTAAGCAGGCGGGACTTTGTAAATTACCAGTGTTAAAGTAGGTGGAGGGAGTACCTACGCTAACGGATTAGTTTTTCAAGCAACAATCGCCACATGACACATGCTGGTACGGTCAACATGGCGGACAAGACGAGTAAGTCATTTTGTTTGACAACTAATGTCACCTCATCGTATTTTCTGTCGGCGTCTTCTGCCATCACGCGGGCTTCCTTCAGTTGGTATTCCAAAGAATCCATACGTTCCTCGTCGGTGATGCTGCGATGCTCGAGCATCTTACGCATACTGATCAAGAAAAAGCAGAGTATTTATTAGTAAATTCCAAGTTGGATAGTCACCACCTGAACTTATAAGGACTATTCTTTTCTGGCTTGTATTGGTATAAGCTCTATTTTTTAATGTTGTAATTTAAATTTTAGTTAGGGGGAGCTGTGGGTCTTAATGATGACGTTAAGATCAGAGGGTTTGAGTTTAATTAGATAGACCTACATACTCTAGAAAACTCTAGGAAGTTCTAAAGTTTCTAAAGCGTTCTAATGCATTCAATGCTAGATTATAAAAGCAAAGTAGTTGTGAAGTGTAGAGAATAATTTCAAGATAGAGAGTGAACTAGTTAGTGTGTTACTTCGTGCAAGTAAGACGATTTGTAACTTAGGCCTTTAGCAAGTTACGATAGTGTACAAGTATTCAAGTCTGTAGAAATGTTAAAGCAGAAAATAAGGTAATTTATTATTGTTACGTGTACTGAACTTTGAATTATTTCTTACCAGATAATTTAAATTAACCCGTAAATAAAAGAACTACGCTGCTATAGCAAATAACAGTCGACTTTAAACACTTGTTTCACGCATTGTATAACACTGCAACGTAATGGTACAATTCAAACTTTAAACAAGTCCAATGTGTTAAGAAAGTTTTCATGGGTAAAGAAACGTATATATCACGTGGGATGGACCGGATGGTGCATAAAGTATATTAAAAACTGTTTTTTTTTCTCCGAATTCTGCAGAAGCATTGATTACTGTTTCTATCTAACGCATTTTTAACAGTCAGCTAAAGTATCTAATTTGTTATGGAAACAAGAGAGAATCCTGAATAGCCGCGGCACTTGAAATTCTTTAAGGAAGGATTTGAGTGAATCAATCTACGAGGTTTTTTGTTTCCTTTTTATTAGCTGCATTTTTGTGCGCCAGCAATACCAAACGTGGAGTGCACGTATACCCCATACGATTTTATTACTCATCAGGATCTCTACCAGCCTACCCTAAAATTGAAATTATTTTAGGCAGGAGCAGAATAAATTAATCTATGATACTTTGGGCGTGATCAATATATCAATCGAAAGGGTTTGACCTCCTGTGTCCAAAACTGTAATTAGAGCTCGAATCGGTCAAGAGATGACGGAGCTATAAACTAAAAGTTTGTACTTGAAAAAAACAAAAACAAAACTCAGAGCCGTTCAGCCGCGGCTAAAATGTAAGTTGACAGAAGTTATAATACAATGTAAAAGTTGTTATCGATTGTTATAAATGGAAGGGAAGCATGAAAGATATATTTTTTTGTTTATATATTTATTTTGATCTTTGTCGCAAATCAGATATTAATAAATATAAAAAAAGAGACTTAATTTGTGTTCAGATAAATCGAGAGTTTTTCTTCAAAGAAAGAGAATCGGTTTGAAACCTTCTCTCTCTCTCTCGTTTTTTCTTATTTCAAACTGGTTCTTATTTTATGAACAGAATATTAGCTTTTTTTTAGCATCCGCCTTATTTTGTGTATATTATTTAGGTATTTTACTCTTATTTGTTTAATAACAACCATTCATGTTCATTGCAGCCTGGATAAGGTTCCAGCACCTACCGTTCGCTTTCATCTGCCAGTTGCGATGCCTCTTCAAGCTTCTGTGTGGCAGTTTTTAACCTCTCTTCAGATCTTTCAAAGTCTTCTTCCAGCAACTGGATTCGTCTATTAAGTGCAGCAACTTCGCCCTCGGCCTGATTTAAAAACACAAAAAAACTGGCTTTTAGGGTTTCATTTCAAAACTAGCGTGAGGTGACATCTAGGAAACAGCATCGCAAATTTTGATTATTTCAATAAAAAAAGCAAGATTATTATTATGCAATGTATTCGTGTAAAACGTATATTGCATAATATTAATCTTGCTTTTTTTATTGAAATAAATTAAGCTTGTATTTTTGTGTGGTTAAAATAAAAATGCTCACATTTTGAAAGGCCTTATCTTTTTCTTCTAATTTGCTGTTAGCACTAGAAAGCTGTTCCTGGACCTGATCCAGTTCGTTCTCAATCTGCTGGATCTTCTTCTGGAGACTCTTTACTTCCTCTTCTGCCTAAAGAAATACAATATCAAAGATTTGTTTATCTTATCAATGAGAATTATACAATTTTTTTTCTGCTTATATTCTAGTCCTAATTATATATATTCTGCATTACTGCAAAAATTAATCGTTACACAATAAAGAAAGTTCTGATATCGTAAGTCGAACCTGTTAGGAAAACTTAAATGATTATAGCAATTTTAATCATTTGAAAACGATAAACTATTGGAAAATTATGAACAAAGTTTTGTGAGTAACAAAGAGTTACTTAACGTTCAGTACGGATGATCTTAGTCCAGTAACGTTTAACACTAAAAATAAAAAGGTAATTTATATTTGATGGTTAATAAACATCATTTGCAGAAAATTACCAAGAACAACGTTTCATCCATGCTATAGTTCTATTTTTGGTTTCGGCTGGGCGT